TTTATAATAGTGACTGCCTTGCCCACTTGTTGTAACTGAATACCCGTGTGGGATATTTCATGTTCTTTCCGCTGTTACTTAAAATACTGAAGAACATTCTGTTGCAGGAAAAATGGTATAAGGAACTAGGTATGCCCTTACAGAAAGTGAGGCCGATTTATGCAGAAGGAGCCTGATTATCCACATCATGTTGCAAATTCGGTTTTCTCTCCCAGCCCCAGAGCTCTGAGAATTTATACACACCGTGTTGTGCTGTGACCCCATTCTATTCATTGGCAAGTACCCAAGCTTCTCTGGTTGCACAAATCTAAAGTCTTGTAATCTCAGAGTCCCTTACCTTCCACCCACAGGCACTGTGACATAAAACTACGTAGGGGTGGCAAGGCAGGCACAGAGAAGACCCATTCTGCAGGACGAATATAATGCCGCAATAGAGTAAAGGATGCAGTGAGGTCTGTGTGCTGTGTCTGATGTCGAGCATCCCAGGGACTACTACTCAGGTCGCTCTGAGGTTGAATGAGATCTTGGGTGATTGCAGGTCTCAGTACCTAGCCAAGGAAGGGTGACTAAGTTCTGAGAAAGTTTTGCAACAATTCTTGATTGAAGAAAGAGGCTCCCAAGAGTTTGTTGCATAGGCCATGGGAATTGTCTCTCATGTGTATTTCAGTAGTTAAGCATGTGATTCACCAGCTGTTGGCGCTGTTTGGGAAAGTTGTGGGGGTTGGGAGGCTTGTTGGCAGAAATATGTCATTAGGATCTCATTAGGATCATTATGGGAGGGACTTGGGTTTATGCTGGAAGGAACTCGCTGGGTAGCCAAGGATAACTCTGAATTTCTGTTCCTTTTGCCTTCCTCTCCCTGGGACTACAGTCTGTAAGCACACCTCTTTATCCCGTGCCAGGGAAGGGACCTGGTGCATGGTAGGCAAGCACTCTACCAGCTGAGTTACCAGCATAAAATGAATTTTGAATCCTAGACAATTATGTTAGATATAAAATCCTATTCAGTTGTGAAGATCTTACGTGGCGGTTTTCTTTTAGAGCACAGCATGTTCTTCTCCTTAATGGGTTTTTATCTTTGACATCCCAAATGAAATGGTCAGGTTTCACTTTTGGTTTTCTAGTCAGTGAAGGTTGGTGCCGTCTCCAAACTTCACAAGTCCATGTAACTTTCCCATTGCCTGCAGTGATAATCAGTGCATTGGTTTCCGAGCCTGAAGTTCATGATCCTTTAGCTAGCAGTGCCTGCTCAGCTAGCTGTCCAGTCGTAGTTCTTCCCCTGCATCGTAGGCTTTCTTTAGTTATCTTCCCTTTCAACCCTTCCAGACCTAGAGGGGCGGCTGACTGCCTTCGCTCTAACTAGGGCTGGGCTTGTTCTAGTAAAGCACTTTGATTTAGAACACACATCACGCTGTCCTCCATGTCTCTGGCCTGTCCCTCTTCTGCAGCGTCCCTTACTTGATTTCACGGCTTGCTAAAACATAGAAGCATAATTAAGGCCATAGTCCTGCAAGAACCTAAGAACAGAGTGTATGATGAAAAGAAATAGAAATACCTAGTGATGGTTTTAATTAAATTGTTTTTAGAAATGTTGTTTGTGTTGTTATATGTCCTGTGTGTGCATGTATATACGTGTGTTCACATGTATGTCAGCATAGACATGTGTGTGAATGTACTTGTGTGCGTGCCTGTGGAAGGAAGAGGCTGATACCACATGTCTTTGTTGCTTGCTCCCTGTCTTGCAGTTTGAGGTAGAACCTCTCCCTTGAGCCGGTTGGACATAGCCAATTTGGCCACTCTAGCTAGCCAGGATGCTCTGGGATCCCGTCTCCAAGTTCACATCACTGGCATTAGGCAGGCCATCACACCTGTCTGACATGGCTGCTAGGGATCCGAACTCGGGTCCCCTCTCCTGTGTAGCAATTGCTTTACATGCTGAGTCGACTCTCCAGCCCCCTGTTTGGCAGTGTGTTTTCATGTAATTTTCTGTTTGTTTCCGCGGTGTTTCCCCACAGGCAGTACTACAGCATCAGGCTCTAACTTAACAAGTCCAAGTGCCCAGCGAAGGGGCCTTTCCAAGCAGAATAATGCTCCATCAGTTTACTCCTCCACACTCGCTCTCACATTTCCCATACAGAACGAGAACGAGGTGATTACAGTGGTGTACCCATGAATACCTAGACACAGTCGGCTGGAAATGATCTTGACCTGAACCTAAAATCTGGGCTGGAGAGATGGCTCAGTGAGCAAAACACTCACCACATGGTCATGAGGGCCTGAATTCACTCCCCAGTACCCATGCTCAGCTGGGCGCAGTCTGTAATACCTGTGTTCCTCCGGCAAGATTCGGGGTGCAGGCAGGAGATCCACAGACGCTCAGGGACCAGCTAGTCTGGCAATATGCAGCAGCAAATAAGAGATCCTGTCTCAAACAAGATGGACTATGAGTACTGATACCTGAGGTTGTCCTCTGACCTCCACACTTCATGCTTGGCATGTCTCGCACATGGTCTCACACTCAGACACATGCACACTCACCAAAGGGAAAAGCCCTAACGGTGTAGATTCATGACGCCTGACACAGAGAAACAGCTTAATGAGTTTGGATCTGGTTTCCTCGTCGCACCGGGCATCTTTTCCATCTCTCCAGGCTCCAGGTTTATGAATCAGGGAAAAGTGGAGGGTCAGCAATTACGCCTTTGAGAGTTTCCTGGAAAATGCTGTGCTGATGCTGTTCCCAGCTCTTTAAGCTAAACCCCATAAAAACAGTGAAATACAAAGCAAGCTTTCAAAGTGCCATGGATGTTGATGGTGTGTTGTTTGCCAAGAGAAGAAGAAAAAAGTAACTGGAGAGAATCATGTTAGGGAAATTAAGCTGGTTTCACACACATGCCATGCTCTCTCTCCTTGGTGGCTCTACATCTCGTATAGATCCAGAAAGTCATGTAGGTATGTGTATACATATGAAATATGGAAGAATTAAAACTGTCTGTGGCAAAAGGGGGAGTGGGAGAAGTAGGGAAGAAAAATGGGGTGATGGAGCATGAGGGGGTGTACTCACCATGTAGTGCGTGCATGAATGAGAACTTAAAGAAATAAAGTAATATTATTACCAAATAAAAACTCTAGTTATAGATTTTAGATATTCTGTTAGGAACATACAACCTGACAGCAAGTCTATGCATATTTGAAGTCTATGCATACCCTGAAGCAGAGGGTCCCAAGCATTTCAAACAAGAGACATTCAACTCCGTGTCTCCTGTGAGGCTACAAGTAGATCTTGTGGAGCCTTGACTTCTCCAGTCCTCAGCTTTTTGTGACCTGAAGATTGTCTGCCTAGAACGTGTGGTGTCCTTATTAGTGCTTTTCAACTTCACACAAACCTCAGCACGTGTAGGAAGAGGGAATTGAGAGAATCCTCCGTAAGATTGGCTATTTGGAAAGCCTGTGGTACATTATCTTAACTAACGATGGATGTGGGCACTGCCACCCCTGGGCAGGCGATCCCTGGACTGTATAAGAGAGAAAGCAGAGAAAATCATGTGGGGCAAGCCAGTAAGCGGTGCTGTCCCTCCAGATTCCTGCCCTGCTTGAGTTCCAGCCTTGGCTCCCCTCGATTGATAGGCTGTGAGCCAAATGAACCCTTTTCTATAGATGCCTTTGGTCATGGTGTTTTGTCACAGCCACAGGAAGAGTAACTAAAGCATCTGTCTAGAACCTAGTTGTAGAAATCCCCTCGTCTCATGGTTTGAAGAAGGCCTAGACAAAGACTGGCCAAGCAGAGGATGAGTAGCCTGAGGTCATTGCTAATCGGAGATGGTTTTCCGCTGTGACCGATTCCCTCTGAGCCATTACTGCTGGTTCGTATAGCAAGGTTGGCAATGAGGATGTTGGCAAGGGATGCCTCTCCAGGCTAAATGTAGAGATTCCTGGCTTCAGGCTGATGCCAAGCTCTGGAACAGAGGTGGAGCTCCCGTGAAAGCACTCTGCAGGGGCCATCTGATAAAGTGGCCGCGTGTCCCTATGAGGTATACAAGGAGAAACACTACCATGTTGTACACACAAAGCATTTGCTGGAGAGAGGAAGTATGTGTGAGGTGCCGGGGCGGAGTGTTGCCTTCCCTCCTGAAGATGCTTATCCTTAGTGTCTGCAACTGAGCTGGACAGGGAGATTTGGCTTAGTTGCCAGTGGGACTACAGGTGGCCATGGTTCCTATGTTTGGGGGAGTTTTATAGGCTCATTTTTGTCTGTTCTTCCTACCACCCCTTCCAAACAGTGATGGGAAGGTAACCAGGTACTTTTAACCTATAGGATGCCATTCAGTTCTAAGTAAAATGTCAAGGTCATTGAGTTCTTCAAAAGAACCTTTGTAGCCAGGCAGCTCACGCCTTTAATCCCAGCACTTGTGAGGCAGAGGCAGGATGATCTCTGTGAGTTCAAGGCCAGGCGGTTCTACAGAATGAGTTCCAGGACAGCCAGGGCTAAGTGAAATCCTGTCTCAAAAAAAAAAAAAAAAAAAAAAAGAAGAACCCTAGGACTTGTTGGCCAGTTAGCCTAGCCTACATGGTGAGTTCCAAGTCAGTGAGCGACCATATATCAAAACAATAAAACAAAAACTGCATAACGTTATATTCCTGAGGAATGCCACCTGAGATTATTGGCTGGACTCACATACATGCACACGTATGCCCTCATGTACCTGAATGCAGGCACACACTGGGGCTAAGGGGAAAAAGAGAAAACGAATCTTATAGATGCTGACATACCTTTCTTTTTCGAGACTATTAAGAACTCACAGAGCCTTCTTGATGGCCGCCCCTGTATGCCAGCAGCAGCATCCTGCTGTGGCTGCAGTCATGTCTGGGGCTGGACAGGCACCCTGGATCAGAACCTTGCTCCATGTAGACCTCTCTATTTCAGTTTCTCTCTCCGCCTATGCAGACTGTGATGCTGGTCATCTGTAGTGTGGATCTCATGGTTCCTTTCTTATTCTTTACAGATATCATTAATGGAGTTCAAGAAAAATGTGTATTGCCTCCTATGGATGGCTATCCCCACTGCGAGGGGAAAATCAAGGTAAGGCAGGGGCTGTGCCTATCCATCCCATCAGTCTCCACCTTTCTCCTTTATTAACGATACAAGTGGACAAGTGAGCCTTGGAGCAGATCCTTTCCAGGTGTTTCCATACTGCAGGGGGTCGACCCTTCTCTGCTCTGCCCCTCCCCTGGAGTGGGTCAGCAGAGGCTCTCCGGGGTCACACTGAGAACCTGAATCACTTCAGGTGTCCACTCTGTCTTGTCCAGCCCTTCACTTCCAGGCGACCTTAGACTCCTTCCTTCTCCCTGATCCCCAGAGGCCTGTTCCCTCTCCAGATTGCATATGCAAATGAGTACCCAGAGACTCTTGGCCATTCTTTACTCTGAGGTCAAGCCCAAGATCTCCCGAATGCTGGGAAGCACTTCCTACTGAGCAACAGCCTGGCCTTGTGTGTCTGAGTTGTACAGGTCAACATGTATGTACATGTATGTATGGAGGTTAGAGGTCAACATGTATGTACATGTACGTGTGGATGCTAGAGAACAATAGGTCAACATGTATGTACATGTATGTATGGAGGCTAGAGGTCAACAAGTCAACATGTATGTACATGTACTATGGAGGCTAGAGGACAGCTCTGCGTGTCATTCCTCAGTCACTATCCACCTGTCCCTTGAGACAGGACTACTGGCAGGGAGTCCACGTAGTAGGCTGACCTGGCTGTTCCCTGAGCTGCTGTTACCAGCACACACACCTGGACTCCTGAACTTTTTTTGTTTTGCCTTATATTCTTTTTTGGGAAAAAAACCATATTTGTTTGACCTGCTCCAGGAGATCATTCCTGGCCAGTGGTGTTCAGAGAAAGGTTGTCATTCAAGTACTCATTCAAAATGGCAAAAAGATTCTGGGAACATTTCCTGGTGTCCTTTGGGGAGAGCTATCAGTGTCCATCGACACTTCTGTGGTCCTTGGCCTGCACTCTGCCTTGCAGGCCCTTTGCTGGCGATGGCACCTCCCGAGGGTGCCGTGGAAGGGCCCCTGTGGTCCTGCTAACACGCTCCCGCCCTTCACCTCCTCGCTGTGTGTACACAGAGCTCCTCTGCCTGGGCAAGCATCTGCTCCGATTCTCTAGGGGCTGAGCATTTGGTCATCTGGCCCTCGGCAGAGGGACTTTTGGCTTTGCTCTACCTGTGGGCCACTGCTTGAGCCACCCAGCCCACCATGCCCTCACCCGCTCATGCCCTCACCC